AGGTTAGAATTCGTTTTATTTAACTACAATTTTAAATACAACTTTAAAATATTTTCACTCTTAGTTTTAATAGACTATATTTCTTTTTAAAAGAAGTAAATGTATTAGAATTACTTACAGTAAGTAAAATTATTTTTCCATATCAAGTATAAGTATGTATATTACGATTTTTAAATTTTTTTATTTAAATATAATTTAAGTAAAATTTATGACACTTACGGCAAAAATAGCTAATTAATTTCTCTGATTTAGCAAACTTTATTTTAGTTTTTTAGTTTTTTTATAAACTTAGTTATCTATAGTTTCACATGTATGTACAAAGGCCTACATCTTCTAGCTTTTCATCATAATTTCATTTTTCAGTAGGTGTTTTATTGGATTCATTTAAGTGCAGATAGTACTTTGAGAGAGGTGTTTAGGTAATAATGTTTTTTGTTTATATATATATATATATATATATATATATATATATATATATATATATATATATATAACGTATTACAATGAATCCTGATAGCAGAGGGGTAAGGAAATGAAACAATTTTTGCAAAGTTTTTAATTTAGTGCCGACTGATTTTTAATACAGCCATGACTTCCAATTTTTTGTCGCCTTTATTGCTACTCCATTGCGTTACTATTTACATTTAATCATTTTCTACAATAAATTTTAATATTTCTGTCTCCGGAAGAAAATATTGATGAGTAAAACAGTGAATTATACCATTTTAAACCTTAAATTTATGCCATTTTCTCTGTGTGTACATAAATGAAAATCAGAGTAAAATTGATTGTTAGAGGAAGGAATCAATTCAAGCGCTAGGGTTATTAAATTATATAAAAATTAACATATCTTTGAATGTAATGAATAAATGAAAGAGAATTTTACATTTCAAGGAACTAAAAATGCTCATGAGTAATTATTATCCGAATAAAACTCTTTATTATTCATTGCGATTTTGAAAAGGAAAACGTTAATTTTGCATTATTATTGAAACAAATATTAAGTCAATAAAATCAATATCTTTATTAAAAAATGTCGTCAGTTATTCAGAATATGCAACGAAAAGTTGCAAATTTAAGGTGTGTTGTGTCTTTGTTTAAATCCCATATACTAAAACATCTTAACATTTTATGACCATTGAGTTACAAAATAATCGGAATTTCTGATCTGAAAAGAAACCTTGCGAACATCAAATTACAGCAAGCTTCTATTTTCAGTTTCCTCGTATATTAAAAAAAAAAAACGAAATTTTTCTGGTCTAAGGGAAGTATCTCTTCAGAGACTTTATTGGAGTTATGCCCCTTTATAATAACCGCTTATTAAACGAGAATAAATCTTGCAGAACTTATAAAACTGATAAAAAATTGGTTAAATATATTCATTAAATATAAAACAAAACTTCATTTCATATTTTTTTAATTCTTGCATATCAGATGTTTTTATAAGATTGTCTAATAACGAAAGTAATACATATTTTTGTCAAAAAAAAAAAAGGAAAAAAACTTCTATAGACAAATTTTATTAGCTTAATGATAATCTACTTTTGAGAAAATTAACACTTAATGTATTTAAACACAGATATCTATATTTTTCTAAGCATTATTATATCATTTATTCTTTAAATACATGCAATTACGATTTAATTAATTAATTTAATTATAATGTTCTAGTTTGTTTAATATATAATTCAGTTTGAAAAACATTTTTCTCTTACAGTTTCAACATTTCTTAATCCTTTTTTATAAGAAAGTCTGAAAACAAATCATCGGTCGATATCAGAGAGAAAAGAAACAATGTATCAATAATGAAGTAATAAATTTATATATATATATTTTTTTTATTTTACAGGGAAAGATGAAAATAAAGTTTCAGAAAGTGAAAAACATCTCGGTTCAAATATCATTTAATGGAAATAAGACATTCATATACATACAAATACAAACAAAAACATTTGCACACACTCCCACTATCTATCTATCTATCTATCTATCTATCTATCTATGTTATTCTTATCTATCGAAAATGAATTAAAGGAATCTGTAGACTTATTAATTTCAACCCAAACAAGGCGGGAATGCCACTAGTACGCAGGGGGTTACAGAGAAGGAAGGTGAGAGAAAAGACTAGATATCCCACTAGACTGAGGAAAGGATAAAAACTGAACAATAATTTGTTGTGCCATTTCTGTTGCTTCAAGTCTCTTCTTTATATGTAAGGAGATTATCTATTATGTACTGCCATACAAGAAAGCTGATATTACGTAATAGTTCAGAACACTTTTCTTTGTTTCTAACGAAATTTTACACAACGGTTCTGTAATTACTGAGAAAACGAAGAGATTTCATTTTAAAAAGTTGATTCTCTTCCCATCAAATTCTCAGCCATAATCTCTCCCTCTTAGCGAAGACACTGGTCATAGATTGTCACAAGCAAAAGCATTAGAAGTTTCTCTCATTCACTTTTCTTTGTTTCTCAAATTCACTGACAAGTAGACGGTAAAAGTTCCTCCGAAGGTTAACAAGGACAGCCAATTCAGACCATAAAAACTGTGTTATTTAAGACTTTGAGAAGAAAAAAGATTTTTCTACCGGTAAAAGACGGATATTTGATTTTCAATATCAATCAACTGTGACATTGTTAAGTTGGTTATAAGAAAGCTGTGGAATCCAGCATTCCGATACAACCGTCGAGGTCAAGAAACTACGATGGTGGTACCACTTTCGTAATAACAAAAACATTCTAATTTCTGCTATGTCTTCCCAGAAAAATATCTCTTGCAAATCCCTCTATCACATATATTCTCCTACATACATATCATCTGCGGTTTTTGCATGAATTGGGTAGCATTATTTTGCCCCATCGATTGTGCTTTCTTCTTGAGACACGTCTTGCTTCCAATTATTTTTTTTCGCTTAATGACATTTATAACATTAGTTTGCATTGTTTATTTCTATAAGCTAACCTATTAATTAGTGTAAACAAAATATATAGAGGTGGACGTAAAGAGGTTATTGATTTTGCCTAAATTCATTACATGCCGAGGGGTACCTTCAAGAAAGTAAAGTACAGTGGAATATCAATAAACATGAATAGTGAATTTTAAGCAAGTATCACTTACTGATTATATTTATTCTGATACGATCAAGTTAGTTAACTACAAACTTGTCTCAAGTCAGAATTCATTATGGAGATTAATATAATTTGAAATAAATTCATCTTCAATTAGAACGCTACGAGAATATTCTAGATCAAAAGACTAGAGGAAAAAAGGGATGTTAGGGATAAAAAATACAGAAGACTCACAAATATGAAATAAATAATATGTTGAGGCTACATAATTTCATGGGTTTTAAAAATATAAGTTAATAAAAAAAAAATGGAAGGAAAAGCAAGTATAAGAAAAATACTACTCACCGTAAAATGGGGAATAAAAATATAACAAAAAAGAAAAAACAGCTAAAATAGCCAACACGTTATCATCATCGCTTGTTTGTTTTTACTAATGTTCAATCAATAAATATTTACTAAAAATAGAGAGTAAATGAATGGTGTTTTATGTGTGCATCCAAGAAGTCGATAAGAAATGCTATGAGTTTTGAATAATTGATTAATTTGCTTTTTTTTATGGCTTATCAACCACTTGTGAACTATTACAAACCGAAACATTTTTTATTATAAGAATAATTACATTCTTGAAAGTGAATATTGCATAAACATGTTTTCCAGAATGTCAATCATTTTTCAAAATAGAAATTCTACAATTTAACACATAAGTAGGCATATAGATAGTCATTCTTGTTCCAAGGTTATCTGCACATATGTGAGTGTAATGAATCCGACGGAAATTCGAACTTTACTCTCCGATTTCTCATTAAAACTATTAAACCACCGCACACCCACCAGTTTAAGAGGTTATGTAGGAAATATAAAGGTTATTCCTAGAGTTTACGTGGTTAGGATCCTCTCGGGCAGTTCTTGGGAAGATGCTGTCGGAATGGAAATTCGTTCTTACTAATGAAATACGAAGGGAATGAGGATGATTCGTTCCCACGTACGTGGCATGGTGGCTCCATATCGACAGAAAATGTTAGCCCTAGAAGGCGCAATGTCTCATTCTCCTTGAGGTTTTCATCAGGTAACTTGTCTGCTTATTAGACACGTCTGCACCAATGAAAGAATTACCTGTATGAAAACTACAGAAAAATTCACCAAATATAAAGATCCAGGAATAGAAATTAAAATAATTAGAATTATGAAGCCCAGAAGAATATATAGGTATTCTGGGTCTGATTAAGAATGACAGGGAAAATACGGCATGAATCCATTTATTTTTACCCAATACGAGTTAAATACACGACTTTTTATAAACGTCTCATTTATAAACAATTTGTAAGCAACTTCACTACAGAACTCAATGTTTCTTAAGGAACTCAAAAAAGAAAAGAAAAAGACGTTAATATGTTAGTTTATATTATACCCCAAAATTCTACCAATTTTACTTGATTAGTTACATTGATATTACTTTCTTTTCTGTTTATTAGATGAACATAGGAGAACAAAACTATGCAGCCATTTAAGTAACTTGAATCATAATTTCCGTCATAAAAATTAAGCAACACATAGTGTTCAAAAATCCTCAGTTAAACCATTGTATAGTTGAGTAGGTCTGGCACTCTGTAGTAGGCTGGCAGTTACTATAAGAGAATGCCCATTCTGAATTCACAACTACAGAGAAGTAACAGGAAATCACTACATTACCATTCCCAAATACTAATAGCAATTCACAAATAATATAAAAGGAACCAAGGATAATGATGATCGCCTACATCTTGAAGCGACAAATTACTTTTTTAAAAAGTAGTATACATGAGTATATGATGGAAGATAAATGTTAGTTAGGGAAATATTCGTTGTATGTAAGATAAAATAATATATATATATATATATATATATATATATATATATATATATAGAGAGAGAGAGAGAGAGAGAGAGAGACAATAGATAGATAGATAGATAGATAGATAGATAGATAGATAGATAGATAGATACTTACGAAATTCCTCACGATACTCTGCCGGGCCAAATATGTGGTGATGTTATCAACGCTCTACACTATTTATAAGTAGTCAGCTTGAAAAAAATATTAAAAGAAAAACACTATTCAATGATGGCTTAACAATGAAGAGTTAATTAAAAATATTCCTACACTTGTATCAACAAAAATAAAAAATTATTCTTAAACATTTTTTTATTTCTATTTTTCCATTCATCCTGAATATTATGCATTGAATAAGATTTAAGCATGAGAATCAGAGTGGAGATAGAAATTCCCATGATAAATTCTTTATCTTTTTGTTGCTATTAATACACCAAAAGCTAAAAGTAGGTTTGGATTAGAGACAATATTTTTGGAAAACACTAGTTGCACAAGGTTAAGTAATGGGATTCGATGGGATTTTGCACAAGTCATTTCTCCATTTTCTCAACTGAAGCCAGATTAATAGCTTGGAATAAAATGAGTTGAAATAACAAGTCCAGATTTTTCTCAGTCTTAGAGAAAATGAAACACAAAGTACACTTATGCTGAGCATCAAGAAGTGACTGTTGAAATTTCTGGAGCACATAATGAAGAAAATTTGACACTCACATGACATACTGAAGGCAAGAAGGACACAGGCAACCATAATCTACTCATTGAGCGTGTGTAAATGGTTAGCAGAACAGCGTTCAGGAGGAATAGCAAAAAGAGAAAATTTTCTAATAGTTACAAAAGACAGGAAATTGTGAAGAGCTATGATTGCCAACGTCCTGACTGGAAATGTTACATAGAAAACGAAAAAGAGATTGAATTCTTGCAGAGCGTCATATATTCAATTGATATATATATATATATATATATATATATATATATCTTCTGCACCAGGCTATAGGTTAAATTCTAGTACAAAACTAGGATCCTCTTTTACTGGTATTCTTTGTATTGTTATTTGCGATTAGCCCCATCGCGGGCCATTCTGTTTATTTTAGCCTTCGTCAAGGTACTTCTTTAATTCTGTGCCTTATTACAAACAGTAAAATAACCTCAAACTCGAAATCAATCAGCAGCTGACTTAGCGCCACATCACGTTGAAACTCTAGTTCCCGTATTATAATCGCCAAGAAACGTTGAGCCTGGTTAGTACCGAGATGCCTGTTCACTTGGGAATATCAAGTTCTGGATCAAGCTTGGATTTGCGGGTGGTGTAATGGATAATGGCTGGGAAGAGTTCTAATCCCTGTTGGGTTCGTTATATTCACTTACGCACAAATACGATTCTCTCACCCCCAACCCCAGCTATGGCGTAATTAGTAAGACTTGAATCACTAAAACATTATTACCTCTTCCCGTCCCCTAAAATTCTTACAATCTAAAAATATTTTCTGGTATTAAATAACCTACGAAGAGTTGAGATGCCGTAGAAAATGAATCTATCTATCAGACAGCAGCCACAAATATAAAATAGCACGTGATTTCCCAGATATTCAAAATGGCTTATTCAATGAAGGTAAATCAGTACAAAATAAAGATAATTCTGAGAAAAATATTTTCTTTATTTGCTATCGCCGTTTGGTGGTTGAACAATACAAATGAAGTCATTCTCTTTCATTTTATTTCCAGATCATACTTTCTCTTTATTGATTAATACATCTATCGAAGTTATGTCAATATCTATCTAGCTGTCATGGTCAGTTCATGACCTTATATACGAGGGTCAGTTGAAAAGTTCATAGGAAGACCAAGATATTCTGACTGAATGAGATCAACTAAGATTTATTTTTCAACATTGCCCCATCTTGCAGACCACACACTTCTGTCATCGGTGTTCCAGTGTTTGGATCCCATTGGTGAAGAAGTTTTCATCCTGTTGGTCATAAAACTCATCAATAGGATATATGATATCATTATGACTGCGATACTGGTTCATAGCTAAACGTTTTTTTCAGGTTGGGGAACTGATGATAGTCAGACGAGGCTAAATCATAAAAATAGGAAGTGATCAACGAGTTTAAAGCCACAGTCGCGTACAGCAGCCATTGAAACTAAGGACTTGTGCGTTGGAGAATTGACCTGATGAACAAATCCTCTTTAATCAAGTTTCCTGGGGGTCTATCATGATAATCTTTCGTAACTACTTCAGCAAGTTGGCATAGTACTCTTCATTATAGATGTGGTATATTTTAAAATATTCAATAAACTCAATACCTTTTGCATCACCAAAATTTGAGGTCATCAGCTTTCGGGCAGAAAAATCTACATTTGAGGAAGGGTGTTCCCATTACATGGATTTTCTCTAGCTCAAAGTGATGAACCTAACATTTATAATGGGTTACGAAACGTTCAAGGATGCATAGTCAAATAAAATGGATTTTGCATATGCTAGTATTATTAAATATGACGAAAATACCGGAAATAACGTGTTGGCTAAATTAAGAAATGTTGTTATTTATCTTGATAAGCAACAGGGAAAAGTCTTCCACTATAAATACTATTAATAATGAAAAAATCGGAACCCTTCCTATGCTAGAAAAGAGAAGAACTTACAATGATGACGGATAGGAATATGATGAGCATATACGAACAAAAATATTCCAGAGATGGTACTGAGGTATTATATGTAAAGGAAAAGGAACTTGAAAGAGGACATCAATACTGAAAGCTATTCAGTCTATTAAGGCAAAAATAGGATACCTCGAGGTGGTGTAATTGTTAGCAAGCCTGTCTCGCTAGAATAATTACGACTGAGTAGTGAGTTCGATCCTCACTAGGTGTCTCATTTTTTCGGCCATATCCAAGCTTGTTTTTAGGTTATTTAAAGTTAGAAAATAATTTTAGAATGTTTTTAGATATTAATGGTGCAGTGATACAAGTTTACCTAATTAATCCATAGCTGGTGGGAGAAGAGGTGAACTAATACCTTTCACAAGGTTATTTGCGTGTAAGTGAATATAAATAACCCAATCCACTGCTGACGTCCTAATTACCATTACACACATAATGAGTGAGGCCCTTGACGAAACACACATCGCAAGGAGTCCATAGCATTAGATATCTCGAAGGCCTTTCGACAAAAGGTGTTGTACAAAAATTTGCTCTACAAGTTCTCTATTAAATCACTGGAAGGATTTTGTCTATTATCCTTCCTAACATGTAGATCACTGAAAGTAGTTATTAACGGCCAGTACTCCGAGGCCCTAGGGGATCAACGCAAGTATCGCCCAGAGGTCACCTCGGACCAACCGTCTTTCTGATTTACATAAAAGATCTACCTCCCAAAATGATGTTTCCATAATCACTATAATCTTAATCTGTTCACGTCTAGAGTCAACCATAATCTTCCCCTCATATCCATATAAACTACCCTTTAATGTAACCCTCTATATAGAGGGTCCCCCATCCTGGGCTTTGTACAGGGTGAACCTTATCGTTAAAAAAAAAAAATAAAAATAACCTGAAATTGGAACTCGGCTCTCCAAGCACCACCTGCACATCCAATCTTGTAACATCTGGTATTCTCAATGCGATCCCCACATCTAGATACTGGCTAGTTCGTCGTTGCTTAACTTCCATGAACATACGGGGATTGGTATTGCAACGTGATATAGCTGTAATGAAAAGTCATATACTTAATAAAGAAGAGACCACCAACAAAGAGAAATGTCATTTATTATTATATTTTTATCATTTTTAATTACTTTTTTTAACACCATCTCTTGAATCATCGTTGTCCTTTTCGTAACTAGAAATACATAATCATTATGTTTCTGTTTAAATGATCGCATTATGAAAATTCTAGTGAAATATAAACCTGAAACATTTTCATTTTTCTTTTTCTTTATTCACTATGTGTGCCGCTTAAAATCTACAAATACCTTGTATAAATTATTTTGTCTTGTATTTATCCCTCAGTTGTGTCTCTTATTCTGTCCTTCTCTGATTATTCATATTTATGCTTTATATTTGTTCGTATTATTTAATCTTATAATCCTCCGATACATAACCATAACATAAACAAAAGTACCATATCTAAATTAAATATCAGATATTTTACGGCAAGTGTTTTTTTCCTCACCATTTTGTGGTAGCTCTGTACAAAAATTAATAAAGAGCTTTTATTTGATATGTGCGCAAGATGATGTCCAGTACTGCAATATTTGACTAGGTTAGACTTGCTACTATTGCCCAGAACTTTTAGGTCGCATTATACACGAGCTATATGAAAAAATTAGTTTCTATTTTCACAAGAAATTCAAATGTTTAGTCCTTTCTTCTTGTTTTCTTGCACTATCATCTATAGGAATTTTTATAGTTTACCTTTCTGCGTCTGCTATCAACAATGTTCTGTTGTTATTAGTGTGGCTGCCAATGATAAATTCTGATAGAAATTCAAATTCTCTCATAATTGCCTCACTGTATAGGTGAGAAGACTCATCCTTGTCTTACACTACATTCTATTTATGTATATTTACTGAATTCATTTCTATCCGAATGCAGATGGTTTGCTGCCAGAATAAGTTCTGGATTATTCTAATATCCTTCCCAAATATGTCAAGGTAATCTAGCAATTCCAACAGTTCTTATCAAACGTTTTTACTTAATCTATAAAGAATAATTCTATAAATAAAATCATAAAAGTATTAGAAAAATAACAGGTTAAAAGAAGCTAGGTGAATACGAACGCGGACCCCATCTTACAAGTAACCTAATCAAGCACATAACTCAATTTATGATCCCAATTTTGATGACTTGTGCGTACATCAGAATTAGTCCTGAAATAGAACAAAAACAATGCGGTTTCTTTAGAGGCACTGGAAAAAGTAATGCGATATTTATACTCCGAATAATATCAGAAGGAGCAATATAAATTCAAAAGGACATATACCTATGTTTTACAGATTATTTAAAAGCGTCACAATGAACTATTTGAACTGCTAGGTAAGCTTGATTTATTTGAGAAGTATATTTGAATAATCCATAACTTATACTGGAAAGAAAATGCCTGCATCCAAATAGAAATGAATTCGGTAAATACACAAAAATAGAAGGAGGTATATGACAACGTTGCGTCTTTTCATCAGACTTAGAGTGAAGCAAGAGAATTAGAGAATTGTCATTATTGACAGCCACATTCTTAACAACATAAGATATGCAAATGAAATATAATTTATAGAGGACGTAGAAAGAAAACAGTAGGAATTTCCACGGAAAGTAGTAAAGGAAACCGAAAAGAAAGGACAACACATAAACTGTGAGAAGAAAGAATGTATGATTGTTAGAAAAAGCAAGAGTCCAAAATATGAACTTCGAATGGGAAACACCAAAATCAAGCAAGATCCAAAATTGAAATATCTTGAAAGTGTTTAAACAGAATACGAAAATGCGACACTGGAATCCGAAGGCGCATTAGGATAACGAATGATGCCTTTCAAAATTTAAGTAAACAGGAAAATTTCATTAGAAACATAGAAAATGTACTGATCTGTTATATAATATTGATCTTACTGTATGGTTCGTTTATGCTGGGAAATCTCGCGGATAAAGACAGTTGAGGCAACAGAAATGTGGTTCTATAGAAGGATGCTTGGAAGGTCGTTGCTTTCCGTGTAACTTAAATTGGAGTGACAGTCCCCCACATTTTTGGAATGTTGTCCGGGACGGGTCACCAGTTGAAGAAGAATTGTTAGGAGGTACTGGCAAAGATAGCAGGGGCAGTCCGGACTTGGCTCCGAACGCGATTGGGTTGATCTGAGTTTTGCTACGTGTACATGTTTCTCCTCATCTAGTACTGGTTGTCAATGCCCCTTCTCTCTGTGGGGGCCGTAATAATGCGATCGAGCGCTTGCTTTTCTCCTTCTTGTATGGTGGACACAAGCCAAATATCTGCAGGACCATTTGTGCCCAGCGTCGTGTCATAGTCAGGCTGGAAATGCTACACTTTCAGGTTGGTTTTCCTACGCCGCGCGTTGACAGAAGATTCGCTCCAGTCTGGGAGTATAAGGGACGCCTTCCCTAGACATACCATTACTCCTCTCATTTTTGTAAAACCTGGAAACTGTCTGAATTCATCATCGAACGTCGAGCTTCTCCTCGGTCCAGTGTTCTCCCACCTATACTCGGTCTTTTCTCTTACCATCACTCTCTGTAACCCCTAGTGGCAGCCCCGCCTTGCTTGAGTTGAAATGCTTCAAAAATACACGCAATGGAAAACATGCACATACACACAATACACAAGAATAAATGAAAGAAAACACCACAAAAAGATAGAGGGGCGCATAAATAGATAAGAACAATGACATCTTCCTCTCTTTCCCTTTCTTTGATTAAATTTAATTGTTGTATTAATCCTTAACCAGAGGAAAAATTTTCCGCCAGTCCAAGATGGATTCAGATGACTACTACTACATACAACAGACAGCGGTTAAAAGATTTAACATAGAAAGAAAAAAACAATTCCTTTAAATAATATGTGGAAATACGCATTCTTCTTCGCCTGAGGAATATCACAAGACCCTTTGTTATTCAAAGGGAATTGCTTAACCTGAGACCCAAGTAACATATATACCGTAAATATAATGGTCTAAATAAAAAAAATAAATGAAACTGAAATGTTATATTCAAAGTATCGAAAATCTTCAGGAAGAACAATTGATTACAACAACACCAGAATTTTGGGACATACTCAAAGCTGAGGCAGTCAAGGATAGACATGACAAAAGTAAAATCTTTTCAAAAATATTAACAAAATCATCACAAATTGCCAGATATAATCGTAAAAAAAGCAGGCAAAACAAACATCTTTTTAAAAAATCACCAGGAATCTTACTAAGCAATTGAAAATAAAAATTAACAAACTTATCACAGCTAATAATGCTGAACAAGAGAGTTTTAAAGTTCCTAAAATAATGGGGGAATATAGGCCTTGTTATGGCACTATAAAAATACACAAACAAAACTATCCTCTCCGTCCTATTATATCTCAAACTCCCACAACTGTTGATCAATTAAGAAAAATCATAAACCAACTTATCACACCATACATTCCCAGTAAATATAGCATAAAATCAACTCAATTAGAAAAACCTAATAATGAAACCATAGCCTCACTTGACACTGAAAATTTATTCACTAATGTCCCAGTAGGCGAAACTATTGATTTTATTATAACAAACATATACAATAATCCATCTCTACTTCCACTTCAAATAAAACCTAGTATATTACAGAAACTACATTTAACTTGCACTACGATCACAACAATAATATATATGTACATCGAATTGCTGTTTCCGCGGATTAGTTCTGGGCCCCTACTTTTAGTAATTTCTATATGTCTAGTCTCGAAAATGATATATTTAATAAATTTAAAAAAAAAAAAACAAACTTCCATTTACTTAAGATATGTCGATAGTATCCTTATCTTAGTCAAGAATATGGAAGAAATATATCAAATCCAAAACAAAAAATAATTCAGTCGTTAAATTTGCATACGAACTTAATAATAGCAATAAAATTCCTTTTCTAGGAATATTGATAAACACTAATAATAATGAATTCACTATCTCCCCATATAAAATTGTGCAAAATTTACCTCATCCACAAAACA